TAGCAAGGAGCACTGCAGCCTTGCCCCTGAGCTCGGTTCCCTGGGAGGCAGCAGGCCAGGACCTCCTTTGCCCCTCTCCCACTTGCTCCAAGGGTTCTCCCACATCTGTTGGAGCAGTTGTCTGGAGCTGGAGCTGCCACAGCACTCCATGGGGATGTGCCAGGCACAGCTACCAGGGCCCACTGAGCCCCTGTACAAGTAAAATCCTTGTTTTCTACACGCCTTGTTTTCTCCAAGCTGCAAGCTTTGGCCACTCTGGAGACCCCAAGGACGATTGTTCTGGGCACCTGGGGGAGTTTCAAGGTAAAGAGTTGGGTCTTTCAAGGGTTTCCAGGCAGCTACAGGGTTAAGTAGCAGCAGATTCATGTTTTCCAGACAAGCTGCCTGAACACATGGATTTCAACCCTTTGGTTTTGATCTTACCTACAGCAGAGGAGGTTTCTTTCTTTCCAAGCAGGCACACTGGGTGGCAGACGGAATTAATGTCCCCTCCCTGATGCTAGACAATAAATCAGCTCCTCACTAAAATTTGGGATTAAGAGTCGTCCAGAGAAATCAAAGTGGGAAATCAAGCACTTTCCTCAACTTCAAGGCAATGGATGAGAGAAGAGGGACACACTCATCTTGAATCACTCAGATATGATGATTTAATGTTAAAACTCTAGCATTGCTGATACTTCTTCCAGTCTAAGATCAACTTTCCCAGTTAAAAATTAGGAAAAAAAAAAAAGAAAAGGAAAAATGAATTATGCAAATAGTTTAACAGCAGGGATCAGTCTTTCTTACACTTCTCTCAGGATGGGCAAATTGAAGTCCTGAAGAGCTATGAACAACAGTAGCCACGGTTTCAGTAACAGGGCCAAAATATCCTGTGAGCTTGGCAGCCATCATGAGCCAAGAAGTCATGAAAAGGCACATTACAGTTAGCAATATCTGATAGAAGGGAAAGGTTGAACTGATAATCACTTTACCAAAAAAAAAAAAAAAAAGCAGCTGGAAGGAAAAGCAGATTTTCTGGTAAATCTGTGACAACAGCATCAGCAGCTCCAACTGGTTTGTTGCCCGTTCCTTTTGGCAGCCCAGTCACCTCCCAAAGATCTACATGTCTCTATTAAGTAATCCATTTGGCTGCAGCAAAGGCATCCCCATTAGCCACTTAACCAGCCCATTAAGAGGTCCTCCTAAGCACTGTGGGAGCATTGGGAATGGTTACACCTTCCTTGCAGAGCATCCATCAGCCTTGCAGGGTCCAGGACACGTCCTGAAAATCCGAAAAGAACAGTTTTTTCCCTGCGAGATGGAGACTTTTGAGGGAAACCTCTCTGTTGCTTCCTTCATGCTCTAGGAAGATCTTCCTAAAAATTCCTCCTTTCTGGAGGGCTCCTTCTCCTCCAAAACATGCCAAATTACTCCTATGGGCACAGTCAGCCAGTGCACTTGTAGGGGCACCTGCGGGGAACAGGCTTTGGCCATGCCTGGCACAGGGTAAGCACCTGCTCTTGCTTACCAGCAGCACTTGGCCTTTCACTTTCTGCTTTCAGCAACTTGAACTGGTTCTGCACAATCTGTTGCAACTTCTCACATGCACAGAAACACACAAAGAACCTAGGCAGGTAAAACCTGTGCAGGGAGACTCCTTCTAGCCCTGCTCCATCCCAGCAGACTGCAGGCATTTTGCTGTTCTCTACATTCTTTTTGGGGCAGAGGCATCTTCCTGTTCCCCCAAGCCTGTGATGGTCTCTGTCACTTGCTGCTAGAAAAAGCAGCAAAGACTTTTCCATAAAACTATTTGAAAAATGCAGATTCCCTTCCCTTCTGTGTTGATGTGTATGCATAATGTGACACACCATTCAAGTAAATCTAGTATTTTTGAGAGGAATATACACAGAAATGAACAGGCACATGCTCTCCTGAAACCAGATGAAAACGAAATTTTTATTTGCAGGTAGGGACGTTTATACCGATACAGAGAAAACACTCCGTATTTTCTCTGATGTATTATGAATATGACTCAAAAAAATCAACAAACATTAACCACACACATAAACGTGTGATCTACACAGAATGCTTAAAAGTAATTGCAAAAGGATTTGTTGAGTAATTCCAGAAAAAAAAAAAAGATTGTCAGAAGACAACCTGGTTGTGGGAAGAGGCACTTAATTCACTGCATGAATGACTCACAGTGAATTACTTGCATAACTCCACTCAAGGAAATCACTACTCTGCAAAAGTGCATACATGTTAAATCAACCAAAACACAGAGCGGTCCATATTCTTGGTACAATGCTGCCTTCCTGCTGGTACAGAATGAAGAAAAATCCTCTCAGCTGGGCTGGGAAAGGGAGAAATCCTCTCTTTTGCTATCCTGGCAATGTTTTCAAGAGACAGTTCAACAGCTCTCACGTGTCTTATTCATGCTTGGCGCTTAAACTGAAAAGAAAATCCAGGCCTGTAATATTCAAGAACAAGCTCTTGTTGACAGTGAAACTTTGACTAATAAATCTGAGGCTGCACTTCCCACCCAACTCAATTTAATGCCATAAGATAATTATGGTCCTTTCCTGGAAAACAGAGAGCTCCATAAAGAAGGTCAGCTAGCATGAACACAAGCAAGATTGACTTTCTTCAGAATACATAGAATAAATAGCTCCTTCCTTTATTTGCTATCTGTGCTTGAACTGTGAGGTACAAAGCTTACTGGAATTAAACAAAGGGAACTATTTTTCAGTGTTTCACCTCACTTTAATTCCTCATAGCATATCCAGAACTGAAAAATAGAAAGGCAGAAAGAGAGGGGGGAAAAAAGAAAAAAGCACCACAGCTCTTTGCAAGTCTCATGTGCCTGACCAGCACAACCACAGTCCATCAGCCATAGTTCAGGCAACACATTCAGATGTTACTGTGAGCAGAAGATACACATTCCCTTGGATGCAGCACAGTGATTTACACTGCATAAACTTCAAGCCTTTTCTCTGGGTATAGTGGATGCAGAAATTTCAGCTAGTATTCCAGAGCCCTTCTGTTAGGAGCTTTATTGCTTCTAGGAACAGCTTGGTCTATAGGGAGACTTCACTGCCTGTATATTGGAGGAGCAGCAGCTGCAGCAGGAACAGCTGGGCACAGAGAGCATCCCATCTTGGAGCAGAGCTCCACATGGCAGCGATGGCGCTCAGGGCAGCAGCGTCCTTGGGGAGGCAGGAGAGGCGGGTTTGCCTTGGTAGAGCTGCCCAGCAGCTGGAGCCCTGACTGCAAAGGGCAGACCTGTCAGACCTGTGTGGTGGCAGCTGCAGCCCAGGCCGCCACCGCCGCACTGGGGCCAGAATGCAGGAGTGAACATGAGCAAATGGATCCTGCTGCCCAACAACATCCCAGCTATGCTCACAGAATGGAGTAGGAGCCCCAGCTCCTCCTGGTGTTTCTACAGACAATCAAATAAAATGCATAAATACTCCCTGGAACTTGGACTTGAATCTAGGCTTCTCCTTTGTCCTGTAAACAATGCCCCATGTCATTCACTCATGGTGAACATTTCCATCAAAAAGATCCTCAATATTAAGTTTTGGTTATGCACTAGATGGGAAGATCCAAACAATTCAGCCTAAGGAAAACCTACAGCGCTCAAAAGTATGTTCTAAAATACCAGGGTATCCCATGCAGGAGAGGGACAAGAGTTCTGGTGCAGCTTTTAACTCATGTGTTTGAAGAAAGCAAGTATGATCCCAGTATCCATGTTGAGCACAGCAACTTAAAAGCCAGATGTGCCCTGGCTCCTGAATGGCAGTGGGACTACCTCCAGTTTCTCCTCAAGGTTATTGTACTTTCCAGCACGTGCTGGATCCGTGGCTAAGATCCATAGGGAATTTTTTATCTTAAAACAGATGAAGCTATTGATTCCAGGACAGTTTGGGAGTTAAATGGTGCCAAGGTGCAGACAGTAGAAACCTGGTTTCATACATCAGAGTATGGCCCTGATTCTCTGTACATTAATATTGCTACAAATTTATGAACCAGCTTTAAACATGAAGTTTATGAAATTCATGCTTGTTTGTGAGCAGATTCCTAAAAAATCTCATGCTTTTTTACTTATCAGCAGCTCTGTTTCAGGCAAGGGAACAAATCTCTTCCACTTCTAAAAGAGAACATCTGTATTAACACAGCAGCACACACATTTGGCAAGTGCTTGCTCTGGGAGGATATAGCTCCAGATGGATATTGCACATCCCACAGGCGACTTGTGCTGTGACAACACAAGCCAAATTCACTTAGAGGCAACTAAGCTGCATAGTGGTTGTGAGGTAGACTTTTGGTAGAAATATGAGAAATTCTTAATGCATATTCCATGGTAGAAGAGATGACAATTCATATTGTACCAGGTCCTGCAACTTGCTGCACTGAGGGATTATTGACAAATGCACAATTCATCCAGTACTAAAAATCCTGCATCAAAATAGCAGTGAAGTACTTGAGACAGTTGGAAGACATAGGGAAGAGTTCTGCATGGTTTTCAGAAAAAGCAGTTTCCGAGTGTCTTGCTAAATTAAGCAACAAGCTTATCAGACAGAAGCACAGGACTGAAAGGTAATACCAGATTTTGGAGTTATGCTGTTAAACCACCTCACTTCTGCCCACTGACCTTCCACTGTCCAGCACACTGAGCTTGCCAGCTGCTTTGGGCAGAGACCATACCCAGCCTGCACTGGTGCAACCTCAGTGGTTCTTCCATCACAGTTTTTTTTAAATCTATTTGCAATTCTTTTCAGCAATTAAAGCTAAAATCTTGTAATGTGATCTGAGAGATCTCAGACTGGAGAAAACTGGTAAAACTAAGCTGGCATGTACTACTGTGTTTTGTAGCTCCAAGTGCATTTTCAGCTCTTGGGGCTTCTGATGACACCGAGAGGTGTTTTGAGATGTCAGACATGTCCTGACTTACCTCAGCCCATAACTTCTGCCTTCAGCCACATATTTGCAATGACAACAGACTTAAGACAGGCTTCTGAGAAATGCCTTTTATTGTATGACAGCAGTTGTCACGTGAACGTCCACAAAAGAAACCATTCCATAGTAATGCCAAAATCAAATTATTACAACAAAGGCAAGAACCAAACCAAAACAAAACCAGAGTTAAAATGATGAAAAAGCAGCGCGCTGTTACACAGTGTAAAACATACACAGAAAGCCACATCTTCTGCGAAAACTGTCATGCTCATCACCATCACAAGGAAGAAGTGATTTCAATTCTTTCTTCCCCCCTCCAAAACAAAAAAAAAGAGGCAAATTTTGAATATTTTGAGATATTTCAAAGGGTCAGCTAAACAACAAAAAAAAGAGCAGCATTTCTGATGATTCTTTCTGCAATCTTATTTCACATGTGTATTGGGAAGGCTAAAAAAAGCCATCAACATTACTTAAGAAAACAGCATTATTGAGGCTGGCCAGAAAGTCCTCCCTCTTCCTAAGGGCAGTACAAATGGTATCACAGAAGATTACACCCATCTGGCACATGGTGCAGTTTACTAAAGAGAATTTTTGTCCTTAAAACAAGCAAATAACTAAAATATTAAATAATCTATCCTGGCAAACTGTGGCTTTGGAAATGCCAACATGGTCTGTTGGCTCACAGTGGTCTTCGGAGAAGGGGTGGAGCAAAAAGAGACCAAAACAAATGTAAGAAAAACAATTCTCTGGATCAGAAGTAGACGCTGTTCCTAGATTTTTACATCTAAGAAACATGAGTTTTGTAACTGATGATTTTCAGAATAACTGTATAAAATTATATTTATTAGAAATAAGACTCTGGAATACTTTAAGGCACCTCATGGAGAAGAAATATTTTAAAGGCTTGAATAACTCGGGAGACTGAGTTCTTTTTCCAATATCTCCAGTAAGGTATGCAACTTTGAGTAACCTGCTTTGCTATGTTCAAATAAAGCACAACATTTTTCAAAATGGAAGCTTAAAACTATTTAAATTTTTCTTTGTAAGGAAACATAAAACACCTTGTTGGAAAGATAATGTATTCACTTAACAGACCAAGGCTTTCACCACATGAAGGCCTTTTTTTTTCCCCTGATTTGAGTTCTGCCATTCAGGTCCACTGCACCTTTTTTACACATTTAAAATTAAATGGGTCAGTCAGTCTTAATCAACATCTGAACAAAACAGCTATCAACAATACCAGCAAAACCAGTTTCCTGAATAAAATATTTTTATTGCTTTAAACCAAAAAGATGAAATAATGCCAATGACAGACATGAATGACTTGCTATCAGTTGTTCTACTCAGCAATTTATGGGTTTCAAGTGTGATTTTTTTAAGAAATTTGTTTTGTCTTATATTGACATTTGATACCTACAGCAAGTAGTGTCCTGCCAAAACACGTAGAGAAGGAGAATCAGCATTTTCAGAGATACCTAACATTTTTGTGCACATTCAAAAAGCTACAGGATCAAATTAATTCTAGCTTATAGACTGATAGCCACATCAGTCAGGGTCTCATACGAGTGAGTCTGCAGCAGCCAGCGTTTTGGAGTTCTGCTCTGAAATATAACTTACCATAGATTCATTTCAGAGCTGAAATGAACTAAAACTGTAATTATACCCTTGGTTTACGTGTGCAGATCTCCTTGGGTCTGATAAAAAAATATAAACTAAGGTATGTACGGCCAGGAGAACTCACTATTCTCTTATAGTATTTAAAAGACTCTGTATTATTCATCACATTTCTTCTTCTATAAGGACTAAGTGTTTAACAACAATAAGAATTCCATATTGTAGAACACAGACTCTGAATATATTCACACTTCTCAAAAAAGAAGATAAACAAAGGAGCTCAAACTCCCAACTCGATGAAGTGCACTGCCTTCCTGATCAGCTCACCGTAGCTGTGTTTTTGCACCATTCAAATGAGTTTTTCCATGGCAAAGCTTGAACAGAGTTTGGACATGGATCCATGGATCCTTGTCAAAAAGGCAGTTGCGGACAAGGCCATGAGGTTGAACTTTCTTTACACTACACAATCCCCTAGAATTATCTAACATGACTTTACACATTTAAACTTTACTTCTTCACATACCTGTGCAATGCAACCACTACTCTCACTCAGCTGCAGAACAGCCCTATCCTTATTTCAGACAACTTTAACAAAAAAGAAAACAGCCACGGAACACACAGGATGATAACTGTGTGCTAGGACACTGTGCAGGTGGACTGCAGCAGCTCAGAGAAGGGCCAAGCCACACAGAAAGTGGATGTGGCTGGTGTGCTCTCAGAAGGATCTGCCATAAGCACTGCACACATGAGCACATTTGTGCCATATGCCCTGGTGGCTGGTAGCTGCCCCTGGCTGGCTGGTATTTTATCATCAGATGTAGCACTAGCCTCCTGTTGCACATCACTGTGTCAAGTTCAGTTCCATGGATCTCAGTGGAACTTGTTCCAGTGTAAGGTGCTACACACTGCAGGAGAAGTGTTAGACTTGACAAAAAAGGCTAGGGGCAAAAGCATCTCATTTTGTGACTCCCCCCTAATGATTTTTAAGCATGTTGAGAGGATGTTACCAGCACACACTGATGCCTGATGTTTGCTCCACAAGCCCCAAAAGAACCCTGTCCCTCAGAAAGCTGGCTGGTGGCACTGCAGACACAATCCCCTGTCTCATGGGGTCTCACAGCAGGACAGCAAGCCCCAGTGCAGGGAGGATGCTGTAACAGGGGAACAGGGACTCTGCCTCTCACCATCAGGCTGGCTTCAAGCAGGAAGATGTGCAAAATGAGTGGTTGTGCTGATGCACAGGCTTTGGCCGCCATTTACTCCTCAGTAAGAAGTAACTTTGTATCTGACTAAACTGCATTCTAGTAGAACTGCTTGAAATGAGAAACACTCGTGTTTGCCTTACTTTTAGACCACTGCATGAATACTGGGTAAATAACACTTGTTCGGCATTACAAAGGTAATAGCAAGCATCTTCAGTATTTTTAAAAAAGCACAGTATTTTCCATTTCCTGAAGAAATCTGTTGCCTTTTAGTCTCTCCTGTGGCCTTTAAACAACAAGATGAATAGATGTATTTTCTACTGGACCTCAAAGAATAGCTCAAATTTTTTCAGATTTGAAAAGACCTAAAGCAGCACAGCACTTGCTTCGTTTATTTTTCAAGCATGGGAATAGTGCCTTTGTGTTGAAGTGCTTTGCCAAATCAGGACATAACTTATGAATATTGAACCCCTTTCTCACTGCATTCCTCTCTATCAGCAACTGCCATTTGAAACTACAGGTTGTATTTTCCTACTTATTCTGGCAGGATGGTAACTTCATACAGCTGAAGTTCAACAGAACCCCTGATGCAAAACTAAAGTTACGTATTTTTAACATATATCTAATGAATTTGTTGTGTACCCTGCAGTTACAGCTTTGGCTTGAAGGCACAAATATTAAGGCACAATAAATGCAAATAATGTATACATTTCAATGTGTTGTGTTGAAGATAACTTTGTACTACACAGTATTTAGGTATAATGACATGTCATTCAAACATTTCCTCAAGTTATTTTAATACCTTTTTTTCTTTGATAACCTGGGTAAAAAGAGGAATGTATGTTAAATTATTTAAATATTTCTTCAGTGCAAATGTGGTAATTTTCTTCTGAAGCACAGAAGACTGAGACTGATTTTTCAGCATTTGGATTTTAACAAAATAAAACTAATATTTACATTCATCTTGAACAGCATTATTTGAACTGTTTATTTAAAAAAAGTATATAGTACTTTTCTATCAAAATGAAAAAGTGTTTTTGGCTTCTTCAAGTTTTTTTCCTACCAGCCTGCATAGGTACTTGTGACAGGTAGAAAGACAGTTCCTCTAGACAAGTGAGTTGCACACTACCAAATCTGCTGTTCAGACAGAGCTGTCATGCTAAAGAGACACTGAGAAAAATTTGGTTTTGCTTGCTCTCAAAATATTTCTAGAAGAAAAAAGAAGGACACATTCCCATTATTTTACTAAGCTCCAAATATGCACACTAGACCTGATAGGTGTCCTGCACCTGTTTAAATAAAAGAGATCTCTACCACATAACTTTCAAATAAAAACTGAATCTGCCTAATTTCCTTAGCAACACAAACATAATTAGCTGGAAAGAAAAACATATTGCACTGAAATGAAAGAAACAGGGACAATACAAATTTTCTTCTCAGTATTAAATAGGAAGGATGTCCAGTGCAAAGAATTGCCCCCTTCCCTTTCCTCTCCCGTTGAAGCCAAGTTTAGATGATCTCAGGTTTACATTCTGCAGAGAACAGTTAAGGCAATGAGGAATCACAGTGCAGTTTCAGTTATGCATAATCCTGAGGAAGGATCCAAGGAGGAGTCTGTGGCAAGCTGACCATTCTGAACAACTTCTGGGTAATTCTTACTGAAGTATACCTAGGAAAAATATTAGATTCTATGAGTAATTATGTACAAAGTCCATTTAGCTTCAAACAATATTTCCGGAGATAAATATAGTAGAGATAAACACATATCCTCAAGGAACCACAACAGGAACTTCAGGTTAGTGGCATTCAGTTAATGTATGTCACTGAAAAATTAGTTAAATTACTATATGAACTTTCACTAAAATAAAATGTGTGAGAAGAATCACACAACCTGTCGATCTCTCAAATTTTTGTTAATTCAGATGAATAGATATGTTTTATCACTTTACATTAAACTGATAAGTAAAATCATTTCACTAGCTCAAAACATGGAGATAAATTAAAAACAGGATGACAAAGAAGCTGTGAAATCTTGCGTCTGCACAAGGGTTTCTCATTTTCACACATAAAATGAACACAATGGATTTGGATGTTAAAATCAGGTTGTAATCCCTATATTTTACAAACTGTGATTGACAACCATTGAAACTTCGAAGTATATGTATGAAATATCCCAGCCTTTAATTTGTGCTGCAGAGCAGTTATAGGGCCTATAGAAATGTGATCTCTGGATAGTGAACCACAATAATGAAAGAAGAAGCAAAAGCTTTAACAATGACTCAACCAAGCAACTTCTCTAAAACGTAAGATGATACCAAATAATAGGACAGTTCTTTGCCAAGCCTTTGAGTTCCTGAATTCTACCAATTTCTAGCTCAACTAGAAGAGATACAGGTTTCCTGATAAATGTATAATCAGAACATAAAGGAAATGAAATGCTGTCAAGTTTCACTGTTCCACAATCATCAGTTTTTAGCAGCTGTATCATATCTCTGTTCCTTGACAGATGCGCATAACAAAATGAAATAATGTCAAGACTTGTGTGCTCTTATCTAAAAATGTGTTGGGTGAAAAAGGACTTCAAATGCAATTTTTTTTTCAAAGAAGAATGTGAAAAGTTTTGTTTGAGTCTTTAAAAACAGAAAATACACTATCTTTCTGAAGCTGACATGTGTCACGAGTTAGGTCTCATAGTCAGACTGCTTTGAGTACAGCTTATGAAACATTTCTGCAATTTATATTTAAGAGTCTTGTCAACAAAGTTCAGTTTGTTTGATAATAACGTCCTTTTCATATACATGAATATACGTATAAGACACATGGGATAAAAAAGAAAAAGTCATTCTACAAAAATGTCCCTGTCATCTTTTGTGCACTCACTCTTGTGCACTCATATGCATTTTCACAAGTTTCAAAAAATATTAAAGTCTGATTTGAATCAACAGAAGAATTGGGAGTCCTGTTAAGAGACATTCCTCAGTAACCAGTCACAATCGGATGCAACAGAGGGAAGTTAATGAGGCTGCTGACTGCACACGGGCTGCAGACAGCAGCCTCAGTATTCCCACCCCGTTCCTGCTTTAAAACACAAAACTTTGGCATACTTCTAATGCAGCTTTTGAATGTGAATTTTTTTTTTAATGGAAAGCTAACAGAAAACCTTGGCACATTACTAGAGATGTAATGAAATGGCAGCTGCTTTTCAACTGTCTCATTGCAATTCTTCCCCTGAGCCCAATCCCTCAAGATATTAAATGCCCAAGTCTTTATACAAGTTTCTTCCAGTGCCAACAGAGCTGCAACCTTTTTAAAAGTAATCACTGAGGTGAGATAACACCTAGTATTTTAATATTTACACATCTGTCATAGCTTTAAAGTAAAATAAAACAACTCTTATTTTTCCCTCAAAGTACTGAAACCTGACTGACAGAAACCCATCCCTATCCTGATGCCACCAAAGCTTGCAGAAAAGCCTCTCTCAACACTGCCAAGAGCAGGGAGAACACACCCACTTCTGTTTATCTGAATAATTGAGCACTTTTATTTTTTTCCTTTTTTCACTGCTTGACGATTATTTCTCTTTCCCACAGGATTTTCTCCTAGCAGCTTCTTGTAAACTGAGAAAAGATAAAAACAGTCTCATGATGTCAAGCATAACTCAGTTGCCATCAGGCTCATGGGCTGTTTAACGCACACTCAGCAGTATCCAATTTGAGTTGTGCCTCTGTTGTTCTCTTTGACATTTGGACAAAAAATGGGGATACCAAGTGAGCCATACAATAGCAACTGGATCAATCGGGAAACCTGAGCTAAGATTCCAGCAATAGCTCAGTCTTGCAATGTTTCACTAAGAGGCCCATGAGATTTTTTTTTTTAAATTATGTTTCTTAAATATGTCGAAGTTAGTCTTCCCAATTTAAGATGTGTACTACCTCTTAATTTGCACTTAAAGGATATATGCAAAAGTACTACTTTTCCAGAAAATGCATTTGAAGTTTCAGGTTACTGAAAGATCATCTTGGTACAAGTTTGTATTGTACAGGTCCAAACTGAAATGAATCGAGATTCAGGTCCAAAATCCAATAAATCAAATAATCATTGCCAAAGCATACCCACATTCCAAACCATTTTTCTTAGCAACCCACTGCAATGCTTTTTGAAAAGTATGTATGTATGTCATATTACCATTTCTTTTCATGTGCAGCATGCTGTTTTCCAAAAACAGAAAGAAAGCTGTTCTTCATAAAAATAAAAAAAATGTTCTTAGTAACCACAGTAGGAATGTGGGAAACCAACAGCAATACATGCAGCAGGCTCAGTAGTGTAAAAAGAAAAGCCATTGGAATCAGCTCTTCTGACTAAGCGACTTCTCTGCAAGTATGCATGAAGCACAAGGGACAGCAATAACAAAACCCCTGAATTGTCCAAGTCCTTCAAACAGAAGGAGCTGTAACTGTGCTTCTGGGTAGCTGCTGACTGGAGATACAGTCTCTTGATTCCCATATTTTTGGTCCGAGTGTGGATAAGCACCATGCTTTGCATTCTTGGCAGATGCTAAAGCTTGTATCTGCCTTCTAGCCTGGGAGTTAGCAAGCTTTTTCATCAAACCACATTTCAGCAGAGACTGGTTCCTGGATCTCTTCCCTTCCTGTACAAAATCACATAACATTGATGTGGTAACTGCAGATGACTATATGGGCAAGTAACATCAGGCAATTATTTTTATACATTTTGAATCATCTTTGAATGCAATTGTGCAATTGGGGAGGGCTCCAGGGAAGGAAGGAATGACAGCATGACATAACTAAATTTCTACAGATGACAGCTAGACAGCCTCACCTCTTGTCTTTCCAAGGAACAAGCCTTAGGAAGCTGGCCTTCACTTTACAGACAAACAATGGTCACATGAATTTGAAGCTACCCGTTTAAATATCATTTATATAACCTCCAGATTGTCATGCACATACCGCAGAAAACATGGCTAACCCATTCCCTTCTAATAAGAAAATAAATGAAGATACTCTGCAGCAATGGAAGAGGACAGCAGAACTTGTAACACAGCTTAGTTCAAGACAAAACTCTTTCCTCAGTTATGCAATTTGTACCACACAAGAATTTATGGTGTACGCTCTTAGCTACAGTGCTTTACTTGAAAAACCCTTTAAAAAATAAAAAACTGAGAATATGAACAGACACAGAAATCTCTTCCCTGATCTTCAAGAAGTCCAGTAATATAGCATCCAGACATGAGCACACAGCCTCCATGACTGCACTACTTTTCTTTTTTTTTTTTCAACTTGCTGGAAATGCATCTATTTTTTACTGGAAAATAGTCAAACACCTGCCATTTTGTTTCTTGTCTTTGTGTGTTGTTCCCTGTCTACTGGTCTTTTGTTTCCCCAGGTGACATTTTAGACTTCGTGCTCCTCTAGCTCTGCTCCACACATCCAGCAATTTGAGGAAAGGAAAGCATAAAGGCTAAAGAGCTTTGCCTCTCTCCTGTAAAAGGCTCTCTTAGGTTACCAGTGCCTTACTCACATGCTGAAAGCCCAGTTACATGGGTTCCAAGCAAGCTGCTGCCAAACGGAGCACTGCCAGTCTCAGCTGGAGCAATGCTGAAACTTTGCTGGCACTGAGGGAATTAAGTCTTGCCCTGGACGTCCTGTGTGGTAAATTATGAAGAAAAAAGAAAGCAAGCCAAAGCTAGTCAAAGAGATCCTCAATCACAGGTCATTCTTTTTTATCTTCTTATCTCTGCTTCAGCTTTCCATCTGAGAATTGGAGATGATATAGGCTCGCCTCACAGGCATATTGTGAAAACGAATCCATTGATGTCTCTTAAACACTTGGATTGCCAGAGGAATGCTCACAATTACATTAATAATTCTGTACTCTGAGTAGGATTTGAACAGTTTGAAATCAGGCACAGAGCCTTGCAGGAACAAGGAGGTGACAAAACATTGAATAGCTGTTTCTTAGCTGAGCCCTGCTCATTTTTGGTGCAGAACAGAGAGCCAGGGTACCAGAAAGAAGTAAGGGAAAGCACAACAGAAGGAATGTAATCAAACCCTCAGGGACCACAGCATGGTCACAGGCATTGAGCCCCAACTAAAACCTGATGCACCCTTTAAAAATAGAGACATAACATATAAATATTTGATTCTGCAGCCCTAACGTGTTTTTCACAGCGAGTTAAGATCAATGCCCAGCACAAGTGAGTATGTCCTATATTATTTACACTTACTGTTTTGTGTACATACAAAAGGAAGCATGAAATCCAGTCTTTCAACTTGGGGTATATAAATACATGTATCATTTGGAAGTCTGTGTATATCCCACTGAAAATTATGGCTTTGCCTTGCAAAACTGACAGATCCTTTAGTGGAAGGATTACTGCAACACTGAATATGCTAACTTGAGATAAACAAACTGCAGAGACAAACTTAATTATCTCTTCTTCTAAAATTACCCGTTTTGCTGTTTCCATCAGAGCAGCAGCTTCAGTCTTGCCCACTTGTTGCACCATTTTGTAAAACAAGCTGTCTTGTTCTTGCAGCAAAATGTAAGGCTCACCGTATTCTTTCAGTCTTCCCGCATCTAAAACCTGTTAAATCAGCAGAAACCAATGTATTAACATAAAAAAAATTAAAAACTAAATGTTAGACACTAGAAACCAAATGTAGGCGACTACAGGCAAGGGGGAAATGTATGCATTTTTAGTGTTAAGATGAATTTTGGACCCTGAAAATGAATTCTGCCCTCTTCAAACTAGTATAGCACTTTCTCAGTTTACAGACTTGTTGTACAATTTTAGAGTGCCCTACAGCCATTCCACCTATAGGAATCCAACATGAAGTTATGCAGAATATGGAAATACAATGTTTGTGCAGCCAACAAAGCAGATTATAAGATTCATTGTGTAAGAAGGAAACAAAGAGGTCCAAAATGGGCTCTGAAGTAAACAGCTGTGGGTAAAAACCATGCAATAACCACCAAGACGGTTAAGGGAGAGTAAGTAGGTCTTTTGAATTAGAGGTGAAGGTGTAATTAAAGAAAATGAGGGTGTTGCTGAAAAGATAAACAATTTCTTGCATCAGTTCTTGCCAACTATGGATTAGAAAGATATTTAAACCTGACCCTATTCTTTCCACGTAAAGAAAAGATCAGATACCACCATGGACACACGTACTCAAAAAGAGAGGAAGGAAGAAAGAAAGAACAACAGTGAAATTAAATAAGCATGAAATCAATAATCCACAGAGAATATACACAGTCAAAAATATAGGAAAATATTAAGAATATGCTGATTGAACCTCTATGAAACTCTCAGTTCTCAGACTAGTGACTTCATTTAAGGACTGCATGGCAGCAAACACTGAATTTACATTTTAAAAAGCCTTTATAGGATTAATTCAAGGAAATTTTGGACTAGCATATATATTTTGATGTAAGACACCAAATTAATTGAAACAGTCATTAAAACAAAAGAAGACACATAGAGCACAGGTAGAATTAATTCTCCACAGTTTTAGCAATCACAAATCTGATACAATTTTTAATGTACCAGAAGAAAACTAAAGGAAAAATGGTTTATGTGGATTTTCAGAAAGATACCTGGTGTAACTAAATAACCATGCTACAAAGAACAAAGCTTTTCAAAAACCTGGACAGAAAACAAGAGATTTGAATTGAACAGTGCAGCTTCTTTGTAGAAAACTGAACAGGTAGGAACTGGTGGGAAGCATATTGTTCTGCCATAGGTGATAGCTACTTATGTTAATCATCAGAAAAAGGAGGTGTCAGAGAAGTGACAAACCTGTAAATGACACAAAAATGTGCAGATAAGAATAGACCAGGGGTTCAGATATACCTAACTAACCTAAGAGAATGAGAAACACAATAGCAGGGAAAAGCCAATATTGACAAATGCAATGCACTCAAATACTTAACTGGCTTATAAATTAATGGTATTGACTCAAGAAAGAGATCTGGGTTTTAGTCTACAAGTTCAGTACTTTACGCCATGAGTAGGAGTAATGGAGTTTTAAAAAAAAGGGAAAGAATTCATGTGAGAAAACAATTCAGAAAATATTTTTGCTCTTATATAAATAAAAAACTGAATGCACAGGCGTGCTATTGACAAAGATATTGCCACAACAAAAGGACTTCAAGGACTCATAACTCAAACCATAATTGTGGTGTACATACTTGTGAGAAAAAAAAGAAAGATCTAAAGAAATGGAGCTGTTGATTTCAGAAAAGAAATTAATAAAAGGTATGGCGAGGACAACTTCCAAAGTAACAAAAATAGCGTGCAAACTTCTGTTTGAAAGAAGAACCTCCAACAAGCCTGCAGATAAATTCAGAGTCCTTTGAGGAAACTTTCAAACATGTCCTTTGCCTGTGCCGCTCCAGAGAACCACACATCCTCATGGCCAAGGGCCTGGCAGATCTCCAAGCAGCCTGGACCCCAGTAAATGACAAAGCCCACAGGGAAGGGGCACAGCTGAGCTGACTCCTTTGCCTGCACCAGTGTGAAAATCCTGCAGTGCCAAGATCACTGTCAATTTGTTTGACACCAGAGACCCAGCACCAAGGAAAAAGGACCCACTCCTTCCCTTCCCTTCCGGTTCAATTAAGTGCAGGGCATTTGAATGGAAAATAACTCAGACAACAAACAGCTGCATAATTACATCTAATTTTATAAACTGTATGCACAGAAACCTACAAGAAGATATTTGCTATTTTCAAAAGCTCTTAACTTAGAGAACCCAGCCTATATTATGAATTTTCTTTGCAAGTTATTCCCAGTATGGTTTGAAATTGCAGCTGAAGAAAGTGCTCACAGAAAAATCTTAAATACTAGTAATACTGCACAGCACAACATACAGTCATTTAATACATGGAGTATTTCACCTACTATAATTGCACACAGGCTGACTTTTCAGTGTACTTAATCCTATCCAATTACTCTAAACATGTAATGATTAATTATAAATATAATTTTTATCACAACCATCACAAACTCTGAATCAGTTTTAAGTCACAGTTAGGGACAGCTTCCTTAAAAATGCAATAAATTATCGTATACAATTCAACATTTAAATCAGGATGCCACAGCACTGAGCATCTCTGTCACCCTTAAGTAAAGCTTTTCTCAGCATAGCACTAGATTATGCAAGCACTCCTTAAGAAAGGAAACAAAAAGCATCTTCATTAAATGTGTCTCTTACTGGTAAAGAATTGCAATAGACAAGTAGAGGGTTTTAAAAAATTATATTACTGTAGTATTGCAATTTTAACATTCGTTTTGCAAATACCTGAAACAACCACAAGCATAGACAATCTTTCCCCTCCAGAGAACCTGGGGAAAGGGAAAAAATAATTCTTTCTTGCCAAGTTTTAAACAGTCAAGTCCAGAAGATGAACAGAGAGAGTGAGCAATTTCTGTCCAGAGAAACTCCATCCACATTTTAAACAAATCATTAACCTACTCATAGCCTTTCTTTGGGAACAGAACCCAAAACTTGGTTATAAAGATAAATAGAACAGCCATAGAAAAATAAGCTGTGTTACTTTAAAAAAAAATCTGAAATGAAAAATGAAGAATGAAACTGAACAGACAATATCATTTCTACAAGTCAGGAACACTATAAACCCTGTTCACCACAGAAAACCACTTTCTCTAAGTGCTGTCATCCATGAGACAATGGAGAAAATTTAGGCTGGTTTACTTGGTAGTTATATATATTTATATATTTATTAAAAAGCACTTAGACAAAGAGATAGGTACTCTTCTTTGAAGAAATGTGTGCTGATAAGATTTACATAAATAAATAGGTACTTTGGCTAAGGCTTTGCATACTCTTACTCACTGACTCCAAGCCAAATTAAAATCATTAAGACTTCAAAAAGCCAGCTAATCATTCAGGAAAGGTGGAATCTGGTGTTTACCAGCCACATATTTTCTGATCAACTCGCAACGCTTATCACTGCACAATACACGAGAATCGAACCCAGATGCATCCCAAGGCAGTTGTACCAGTGGAACTCGATACAGGAGAGCCAGAGAAGCTTGTAGCTGGTGAAATCAGATCACAGGGAGATTGTGGAGGACACACACAGGAGCACTTGACTCTGAATCAGACTTGAATTTCATCACAGACTGCAGCGCAGATATTGAGAGAGGGGTTTTGTGCAAATCACTCAACTTTTCAGCTCCTCACCATGAATCTTTGTTAAAATACAAGAAATAAAGACTTGATCATTCTGTGGGAGCTAACTGCCTGTGAAATACTTCGACAGCCCAGAGTGAAACAAAAACAAACACAAAAGAGTTATATAAACCCAAAGTGGTCATATGTAAACCAGGGCCAGATTCTCCACCCTCTTGCACCGGCAGCTTCTTTTACCTCGCCTGCACTGTTCTTGCCTTTGTAGTACCATCTTTATGGCTTCAACAGGATTTTCTCATATGAAAGGGTAATTCCAACAGTACAAAATTTACAAAATTGGCTGCTGGCAATCATACAAAAGAAAACATGCAGGAAAATTGCTGTTCAATGGAATTTGCTCACCTCCCTGAGAATGGTGAAAACATCTTCACTTATAGCTATCCAAATTAGCATTACTCAAGCAGCAATACAGAGATATGTTAAGTTCAAACACAGCTCAAATGATGTATTAGTCTTGAGTAAAATCCTCACATGCCATCTAATTCTATTTCACCTAATGTTTCATCCTGGTTAAATAGTCTGGGGCAGTGACTGCTCATCTGAGTTGCGATCTTTCCAGAACATTAAGAACCATACTGGTGGAAGACAACATAGTTTGGAGCAGCATTTTTTTTGAATTTTGGGGCACAGAATAATACAGAATGGGGATCATTAAATATGACAGGGAAGGACAGAGAAACAGAAAAGAAGTGCTTGATCTTGACCTGCAATATCAAACATGAGAAGATTATTAGCCATTTAAATGTGTTTATGTTAACTCTAACTAGCACAGGAGTATTTGCCTATGCCACAAAAATGTTGGTGAACTAAATTTGGGTAAGATTTGAGCACTACATTTTGCCTCATCTGTAACCTACCAGGGGATCTATCCCCACTTTGCCTAGGTCCCTCCCTAAACCCCCAAGCTTTGCAGTATTTCCATCTCACAGTTTTGTACTTTAATGTACCAACCAGGACAAAAAAGTAGGGGAAGGAAGACAAAAAGTAAAACATAAAATGGTGAAAAAGGAGTCAGGAAATCCATTTCACATGAAAAGAGAAAAACAAAACAATAAACAATGAGGATACTACGTCAAGACAGTTGAGTTTCCAGCAGACACCTAGAAAGCAGAGCCAGCAGAATACCCTTTCTCCTTGATGATTCCTCAAATAATCCGTATTGTTCTGTTGCACATGACCTTGCAGAAGCCAACACTCATTCTGTAAGTGAATTTTACAATCTTCTTTGTAGATTAATATATGTGAACGAAGTGTCATTGGCCACAGAGAGAGAAAGAACAAGGGTCTTCTAAAACACTGTAACAACCACCATGTACTTACAGCTCTCCATAGACACAAAAAACAAAGTTCTAAATCCTGTGTTTTCTAA